TTGCTTCCAGGGGCTTTCTAAAGATACAATGCTTCAGTTTCTCACAGATTCAAAGAATCTCTAAGGACAGAATTTCAGGCAACAGCTTGGGACATTTTAGGTGACAGCGCTTCTGATAAACCAGGACAAAGTTTGCTGCCAACTCACCAAGCCTAGGCTCATTGCCTGGTTACTGGGCTGACAGAGCTGGGGTGAGGAGTGAGGAAGTATTCCTGAACTCCTTCTTACTTGGGAGTACACACTCTGGACCATCAGGGTTAAAAATGCCTGGGACCAATGGTCAGTGTTCATTTTGCCTTGAAGTGGGAGAAATTCCTTCAGGCCCCAGAACCTCTGTAAACTCCTAGGAGAAAGGGAGGAGTGGGCACAAGTTGTACCTTTGTTTAGGAGCCTCCTAAAACTAGGATTCTCAGGCCAGAGACTTCTGGCTGCAGGGACCCATGTCACAACCAGCCACCCCAATTTCTATCTGCAGACTTCCCAGGACAGAAGGCCCAGTGAGACTGTGTAAGGAGTTTTAGCCTTTCTTGGTTTTCTTTTGGGGGGGGGTCAGGGGAGCTTCTTAAAAGGGGGAAAGGGTAAGGGACTGGAGGGTCCTTAATGTTTATTTTCTGCCTAGCTGGTCTGCATTCCCTGGTTTTGGAGGCAGGGCAGAGAGCAAGATGGAGTCACTCATGTCAGTCAGGGGACTGTGTCAAGCAATGATGCAAGCAGCTAAGGGCACTGCAGCTGTAAGTCCAGTCACCTTAGGTCCTTTCACACCTACAGGGTATAAGACAGCTCAGTTGCTCCAACACCATGCCTACCTATGACACATCTTTCTGCAAATTACTTAATATGATTGGCACATACAATGCTACCTTAATATCAAAATCTGAAGTCAACCTATATGACATAACAAAGGAAGAGATCGTACCAATATGTCCATTATAACAATTATGTTCAATACATTTTTACTATCCTTTGATTAATAAAATCTCAATTGTGCAAGGAAAATCAACAGCATGGTGGGAAACATTGGGAATTGATTTTAATGCAAATTTAGTGACACATATTGATCCAGGTATGCAACAATATTTCTTTTCATTGATCCAACCATCAGATGCACAAGGCATGGAAAATACATGGTCAGCCTAGCACCATATCTGTGAGAATATACCAGAACTGATTCCTCTATAGCAATTTACATAGCTAAAAGAGTCACCTTTGACAAATGTGCTGTACTACCCAATAGTTCAGGCCCATGTATTATTGAGAGAGGATGTTGGAATACTACACGGTGTATGAGAATTTGCCATTGGAAGCCACAATGGACACATGACATTACCAACACAACACCAAAACTCAAGCCAAATATGTTTGAACCTAATTACTTAACCCTCTGAGAATTGTATACAAACCTATGCCACAGAGATTGGAAATAACCTTCCAAAAGGAACAACTCAATTTGTTCTATTTACAACCCGAATGTAAAATTTATGCCACAGAGCTAGCAACAACCACCCATGAATGGCCCAACCAACCACCCGTCAATAGGATTGGAGTTAGAAAGCCTACAACCCTGGGTGGGGCTAGGCATTACCTCCAACTTAATTTTCTCTGGAATTCAGAAAGCAGACATCCAGACTCTTAAGCAGGAACTATCTGCATTAAAAAAACATGTGAACCCCTACTAAATCCAGTAGGATGTTTAGGTTCCAAGATCTCCTCAGCATTCAGAGAACCACATTCCATCGTCTCAACCATGCATGATTATCATGCCCACCAACTGGAATTTAACTATAACATTGACCATAAAGTTCAGGCCCTCCAGCAAAATTTACTTAATTTCAGACATTTCTACATAAGAGAACTAAAAAATAATTGCTGCAGAATCAATAACCTACTGGAGAGAGCACAGAATGATATCAGAAGCATTTCCTGTAGCAGGAAAAAGTATTCTTCTGACTGGATGGAGTCTCTCTTACAATTAGATACCTCCAGACCACCAAGTTGTGACAATACAGGACAATGTAAACTTTCATTGTTAAGACTTTTAGGGGGTCAGAGCATCTGGGTGGCTCAGTCGGTTAAGCATCTGCCTTCGGCTTGGGTCATGACCCCAGGGTCCTGGGATCGAGCCCTTGCATCGGGCTCCCTGCTCAGGGGGAGCCTGCTTCTCCCTCTCGCTCTGCCTGCTGCTCTGCCCACTTGTGCTCTCTCTCTCTCTCAAATAAATAAATAAAATCTTAAAAAAAAAGACTTTTAGGGGGTCAAAGCTTATTAGCATACGATATAGAGGCTGGACCACATAAATACATTATAGTACAGCACTTCCGGCAACACATACATCCTCGTGGATAATGGATATTTACTATCCAAAGAGATGGTATTTCAATGGTCTAATAACATGTATTATACCTGCCATGAATTGGAAATCAATGCTAATCTTTTTCCTTTAACAAGAACATCTATTGAAAATTTACTTTTGGACATGGGACACTTGAACTGGATAACTTGTAGTAATAACTTCTTAGAGGTCACGTTCTTTTTCTTTTATTTAAGATTTATTTATTTATTTGAGAGAGAGAGAGCATGTGAGCAGGGGGAGGGGCAGAGGGAGAAGAAGAGAGAATCCTCAAGCAGACACCCCGCTGAGTGTGTAGGCCGACTGGGGCTCTATCCCAGGACCCTGAGATCATGACCTGAGCTGAAATCAAGAGTCAGCTGCCCAACTGACTGAGCTACCCAGGTGCCCTTCAGAGGTCATGTTCTTTAATCATAGCAGAATGAATGATACTATCATAACTGTAGACAATGAGTGTGTTAAAATATTGTATGCTATTAGTGTAACATTTAGTAATGTTACCAAAATGGGTACCTTTGTCTCAGAATATTCATTTAAATTTTTTTCAACATTTTGTACTAAAATAACAGAAATACCTTGGGTGAAAATTAACAAAATTGATAAACTTTTAGATGAAAACTTAGAAGGGCTCAAAGCAGCCCATAAAACCTTGACCAACAAGCTAACCCACTTTGAGCATGATACAAAGGCCATTCAAGCAGCCTCAGCAGTCATTAACACCAACTTAGCCGCACTGAACAAAAATATACAAAACTTATGTAATAAATGTTCCTTTCTAGAGTTGTTAACAAAACCCTTCAAACACATGATTTGTTCTGGCTCATGGTCTGACAATAACCCTTTGTAAAATATTTAAAGGAATTCTCTCTCTACATGTTTCAGAATCCATTAGGGAAATCCTTCTATTATTTTTAGCTATTATTTTTGTTATAGTTCTTATTAAACATGCTATTAAAATGTTGTGCACCCTCAAGCTTAAGTAGGAAAAATTACAAAAAGACTGATTAACCATACCCTCACCATTCCTTTCTAGATGTGCCAAGAGCCTATGTTGAAGATTCCATATGTATTTTTGTACTTTTATCTGCCTATAGCTGGCAATGTGATTATTTCATTTATTTGACTGCTTTGTTGATTTGTTAACTTACCTTAATAAAGTTTTTCTTCTTTTTGACTTAATTCTTATTAGATGTGACTTTGAGTTGGGTTTTAAAATTTGATCCTTACTTAATTTTGCTTTATTTGACTCAGTTTAATGTATCTAACTTGTTTGGATTTGATGTGATCTTTATTTTCTGTCAATTGACATTTCATATGATTTGAGATGTATTTGATTTCGTTTGATTCTCATTGAAAACACAATTGAATGGTTTGGATTTACCTTCCTCCACGTTAGCAAACTAGTACTGCTGACCCTAGTTTAAGACATATTTGATTCCTGTATGACCCTTAAAGATTTGTCATGAGGAATCATGGGGTAGAATGTAGAGAGCAAGATGGAATCACTCATGTCAAGCAGGGGCCCGTGTCAAGCAGTGATGCAAGCAGCTAAGGGCATTGCAGCTAAGACCAGATATCACTGAGACCAGCACCAGCTTTTGACACATTCAGAAGTGATAACCAATGGAAACAGAGGAGGTCTGCAAAGGCTCAAGACTGATTAAACCCCTTTAAAAAAGAGGATATTTGCAGCAAACTGTCAGACTCCTCAGACACTGACCTATGTCTGGTCACTTCAAAAAGGCAGCTGCTGCTGAAGGCTGCCTGATGTCCAAAAAGAACAGAGATCCTTCTTGTTATGTTATGCTTGAACATAATAAGCAGTAAGTGCCAAGAGCTGACCCAGACCGGAGTGAGGCCTTATCTCAACTGCTGGCTCACAGATTTTCACCTTTGGCTTGTTAACTTCCTGTCCTCTGTTCTCTACTGTTTGTTGTGTGGCTTGTGCTTTGCGTGACCTTTAAGAAGCCAAGTTAAACACCTGGTGAAATGTTACTGCGTTTAGAATACCAAACCTGCTTTATAATTGTTAACCTTGCTCTATGACTGAAAAAGCTGACATTGTGGAAAGACACAGCTCATGTGCGAGCCTTCATAGCGAGCTCCGGAAAGGCAGCTTCCTGTGTTCCCAGTTTTTTTTTTTTTAAGATTTTATTTATTTTTTTTTTGAGAGAGGGACACAGCGAGAGCGGGAACACAAGCAGGGGGAGTGGGAGAGGGAGAAGCAGGCCTCCCGCTGAGTAGGGAGCCCGATGCGGGGCTCGATCCCAGGACCCTGAGATCATCACCCCAGCCAAGGCAGAGGCTCAACGACTGAGCCACCCAGCCCGCCCGCCCCGAGTTTTAAAGGTAGGGAGTAACATCTGTCTCCCGCAGAGAAGCGCTTAAGGAGAGTGCAATCCTAGGGCCGGGGAAATCGGGTTTCCCAGGCCCAGGAGACAGAGCATGCGCAGTCCACGGGTCTTCCGCTGTGAAGGGGCCAGGAGGAAGGGAAAGGATCTTTGGGGTCCTTTAAAGAAACAGCCACACACCTTGGAGTGGCCTCCATATGTTTGGGTTTTTGGGTTTTGGCCCCAAGCCAAGTCTTCTTGAAGTCCCGCCTCTGAAAGCTCCGCTCCAACCTAAGCAGCTACGCCCGCGCCAGGGTCTCGGGAAGCCACACCTATTAGAAATCACCCGCCCCCTGGAGGCGGCTGGGCGCGCTCAGCAGAGCGGGCGGAGCACGCGGCAGGAGCAGACACTGCGGAAGAAGCGGCACTGGCAGGAGGCGCAGGGGTCGCAGCAGGCCGGCGCCGGCGCCTTGCAGCTGTCACGAGTGGCCACGCAGGGGGTGGGTGGCGGGGGCCGGGTCTCAGCCACGTTCTTCATGGAAGCCTTTTTCTGCGGGGAAACGCCGGGGCTGCCCAAGCCGGCCACGCCCACCCCACCCGTCCTCACATCTGCCTGGGAACTCCTTGGGTAGTGGGGACCCCAGACCAGACATCCCCACCCGCTGCCCCACTATCCCCTGGGCTTCATGTCCGCAAGGGGCCCCAGGGGTCCCTGCCTCCCCCAGTCATCCACCCTCTGCCTCCAAACCCATTAACATTTACTAACCTGGCTGGGCTTGGCCCACTTTTCTCCCTAGGGGATCCCACTCAGTTCTAGAGTTTTCACCACCTCTGCATCTTACCCCTTCCAGTGTATTTCCCAATCTCCTGTCAGTCCTGCCTTCACATTAAATCCGGATGCACCCACTTCACCACCTCGCTGTCCTAGGCCAAGCCACTATCTTTGGTGTGCTGCTCTGGCCCACTTACAGTCCGTCCTCCGTTGCACCAAACGGACCTCCCCGAAAACCTGTGATGGCAACCACTCTGGCTTAAAGCCCCCAGTGGGTTTTCTTTGAATTTGGAATAGACATAAATTTCACTTTGGCTCTTGAGGCCTTCAGGTTTGGTCCTGCCCACCTCCCTGAGCTGAGCTGTTGTTCCCACACTGCCTTCTTTCCGTGCACCAAAAGCAGAAAATGAGTCCCTGCTACAGGGCTTTTGAACTGGCTGCTCACTTTCCTGAAACCATTCTTTGCTGTGCTGTTCAGTCCATGTAGCCATCAGCCATGAGGCTACTGAGTACTTGAAATGTGTCTAGTGCAACTGAATCTTCAAATTCTATTTAATTTTAATTTACATTTTAAAATAGCAGTGTAAAATTTTTTCTTTAAACAATTTTTTTTGTTAGCACTACAGTTGACTTCATTAAAAATTAGCATCAGAATTGAGACGTACTGTGAGGGTAAAGATGCACCACCAGGTTTCAGACTTAGCACACACACAAAATAAAATATATCACTTTTTATATTGGTTACATATCAAAATGATATTTTGGATATATTGGGTTAAATATTACTAAAGTTAACTACACGTACTTTTTACTTTTTTTTTTAATGTGGCTACTAGGAAATTTAAATTTATATATGTGGCTCACATTGTATTTTTTAATTTTTTTTTTAAGCTTTTATTTATTTACATGAGAGAGAGAGAGCACAAGCAGGGGGAGCAGCAGAGGGAGATAGAGAAGCAAGCTCCTCACGGAGCAGGAAGCCGGGTGTGGGGCTCCATCCCAGTACCCTGGGATCATGACCTGAGCCAAAGGTAGACACTTTAACCTGTTGAGCCACCCAGGTGCTCTTCACATTGTATTTCTATTGGGGGTGGCTGCTTGAGATTACTGAATTTTTCAATACGTAAGTGCTGCTTCCTTGGGGAGGGCTTCTGAGACCACTCTTCCCTTCACTTTCATTGCCATGCTTTAATTCCTTTACAGTGTTTATTATCTGAATTTATTTTACCTATTTATTGGCTTACTTGCTGTTTGTCTACTTTCCCCACAAGAATGTAAACTCCATGATAGTGGGGATATATATCTCTCTTGTTCCACTTCTATAATCCCCATACCTAGCATGCAAATACATTTGTCAACTATGTATTCTTACATGTCAATCATCTGATCTGCTTGTTTACAGGGGTCTAGAGAGGAGCAGGGACTTTCTCAAAATCATACAGTGCCAGGTCTAAGACAGGAATAATGTGTGCATTTCAACAATGCCTTAATCCCATATTTCCCACAGTGTGGGAGCCTGTGCCATGGTAGTATGATTTTAGGTGGTACACGAGTATTAAATGACATTAAATCACATAGAGTGAGAAAGGATTCTTAATCTCTTTCAACTTTAAAGGCTCTGTTTGGTGCCAATATATCATTAATGCTTTCCCAACACGTTCCTATTTTCTTTCCTTCCTTCCTTTCTTTTCCTTTCCTTCCTTCCTCCCTCCCTTCCTTCTTGCTTTCTTTTTTAGGATTTTATCAATTTATTTGATAGAGAGCGAGAGAGCACAAGCAGGGGAAGTGGCAGAGGGAGAGGGAGAAGCAGGCTCCCCGCTGAGCAGGGAGCCAGCCCCAGGACATGAGGACTCGGATCAGGACCAGGTTGAGGACCTGAGCAGAAGGCAGACGCGTAAGCTGAACTGACTGAGCCAGCCAGGCGCCCTTTCCCAACACCTTCTAACCTGACTTTTAATACAGAGAACAAGCCTCAGCTTTAGAGCATTTGGCAGGCAACCCCATCCAGCTAAAATCCACTAACAATGTTTTATTTTCTTTATGCTTATTTTTATGGTTACCTTATATTTATGGCAAGTGATATTGACTTTCTATCATAGTTACATATTTCTTAAGTTTTAATTCAATTTTTAAAGATTTTATTTTTTATTTTATTTATTTATTTTATTAAAAAGAGAGTGAGAGAGAGAGAGCACAATTGGGGGGGAGGGAGAGGAAGAAGAAGACTCCCCACTGAGCAGGGAGCCCACTCTGGGGCTCCATCCCAGGACTCTGGAATCATGACCTGAGCTGAAAGCAGACACTTAACTGACTGAGCCACCCAGGTGCCCCTTAAGTTTTAATTTAATTTAATTTTTTTTTTAACCAACTGAGCCACCCAGGTCCCTTAGGTTTTAATTTTAAACAAATATATTAAGTAAATAAGTGAAACTCGGTTATGGCAAAAATTGTGTGTGGGGGGGTACCTGGCCGGCTCAGTCAGTGGAGCATGTGTGACTCTTGATCTCGGGGCTGTGAGTTCAGGCCCCACGCTGGGTGTAGAGATTACTTAAAAATAAAAGCTTTCAAAAAAAAATTGTGGGAAGTGGTTCTGAAATAACTGAGCTTTAGGAAACAGTGCATTCATTCAAAAGAATGAGTAATGGTGATATTTCAGTAAGAGGGCTGGCCCGTATAAGAAGATGTTTTTTAGCAAGTAAGCTATTTTGCTTAGTGAACCTTAGCTCTCTGGGCTTCTGTGGGGGTCTGATTCAGGGCTTGAGGCCAGGAAGGCTTTGGACAGCTTTCAGCTTCTTTTGTTCATGTAAGGCTGGAAAATCCTTCATTTAATTCCTAGCTAGAATTCTCTCTTAAGTCCGGTCCCACCCCCACAATGAGAACTCCCAGTCCTACCTTGGAAGATCTCTTCTTTTCCACCTCTTTTCTGCTGATCTTTTTGGATTTCTTGTTCAGCGCTTCAAAGAGAGACAGAAGGAGCAAAGCCAGATATTTCTGGAGGCCATGAGCTTCAGTAAAGTGGGAGGAATCGGAGGGGGCTCCAGGAAGTCTCAGGGTGGGGGAGAAGAAGGATTGGCTGGATAAATCACAGCTTGGGACTTAGACCAACAGGTTCTTGTTAGCCTGGCTGCTGAGCTGGAGCCAGGGACTGAAAGAAAAGTGTCCTCTGAGGGAAGGCAAAGAGGAAATCCAAGAAGGCCCTGAAAAATGGATTCAGTGTCATGTACATGGATGGACCTGTGTTTCCTGTATTCCTAATTTTCATTTCTCAGAGCTATGGAGCCAGGCACACCTGATTTGAATCCTGACTCTGCCATTTAACAGCTGTGTCTCCTTATGCAACCTACTTAATCTTCTTAAGATCCAGTTTTCTCATCTGTAAATAGGGTACTGTAATATCCACCTTGCAGGGTTGTCTTGAGGATAAAGAAGGTATGTTTATAAAGTGAGAAGTCCAGCACATCAAAGGTGATCAAAGGTGATACTTATTTTCCTGATACATCTAGAATATTCTCTTTTCGTAGTGAGAGGCAAGGCAGTGAGGGACATTAGTTTAGAACTTGGGTTCTGGAATTAAACACCTGGGTTTGAATTCTGGCTCTACCAATTAAGAACTGTGTGATCTCATGTTAGTCACTTTGCTAAGCCTCAATTTCCTCAACTGTGAAGTAGGAATAAAAAGTAGTACTCACTTTACAGTGCCTAGCACACAAGGAGTATATCTGTTACTATTATTTTTATCAGAAGAAGCTGAACTAGAAGATGTTTGGTACCAGGCTGTAATGCCCCTGATATTTTCCCCTGAGCGGTCATTCTCAATTCTCAACCCTGAAAGGACTAGTTCATCCCACACTCAGTTATATTCCGCAGCATTCTCTAACATTTTTACTGTTGACAGTTCTGTGATTCAGTAAGTTTCAGAAGTGCTAAGTTAAACCAAATTCACAAAGTGTCTTAACTTCAGGGTTTCTCTGAGCCTCTAACATGTGAAGCTGCGTATTAGATTAGTGGTATGCAGGGCTTTTTAAAACCATGAGTCAGGGAATACTTTAGTCCTCTAGCATTACTTTGAAGAGTAAGCACAAAGGAACTCTGACGTATGTCAATGAATCCCGGGGAGCATGTTTGACATCCTGTAGCCCCCTCTCATGGGCCAGAGTCCAGAGACTAGGCACCAAGACAGGCTACTTACCTACAATAGAGACAGAGGGGAAATCCAACAGGTTCACGGAGGAGTTGCTCCTTAGGCTTCTGTCATCCCTGGGCTTTTCCTCAGGTGCCAGGTGGCTGTAGGCAGTGAGGAAGCACAGGGAGACCAGCAGTGTGGCCAGGAGTAGGCGGAAGATATTCATCTTCTTGGAGGCCTGAGTGGGACAGAGATGGCAGTCAGGTTGGTGGGCCAGGGGTCCTGGCAAGAGGATGTGCCCTCTTGCTTTCCTTGTGTTTCTTTGGGCTGGTGCTCTGACCCCATTTTATAAGGGTCCCAGTGGAGTTGGAGGACCACCAAGGCTTAGGGTGGGAAAGAGGAGCTAATGAAGGAAGCAGAGAGAAAAGGAGAGATAGAGAGAGGAAGAGAGACAAGGGAAGGAGGGAGATTGAAGCAAAGAGAAAAAGAACACATTGCAGTTGGTCTCTGTCATCCGGGGTGGGGGGGGTGGTTTTTTTTTTTTTTTTTTTAAGTCAGTGGCCCCAGGAGACCCTAAGCTTGGGCAGAATTGTTGAATGGTCCCCAGTAGCGCCTCACAGTGGTAGAGGTTTTACTAAGGTGCAGAGGATAAAGCTCATAAGACTCTCTGAGAAAGATGCAGTGATAAATGGCATCTTCAGACAAGTGTATATGTTGTTGCATATGCCGTATTCCCATGCCCAGAGGGAATGATGCGGGTACGGTTTATGTGAGAAGGATGGACCTGTTGACGTAGGCTAACCGCATTTGCTGACTTATTGCTAGCTGGATTTTGATGAAGCAGACAGATCCTAGAGTGGATTTCTTCCCATGCATCCTCCGTTTGGCTTATATTAGGGTTCAAAACTTCAGTAGCATCTTCACCTTCTCTGAGTGTGGGATCCCCACTCCTTCCCTGCTCGGAACATTGTTCTCTCCAGTCTGGGAAAAAACAGTCTGCTTTTCCAAAGTTCTCTCTGTCCAGCCACAAAGCACCGTGGGTGAGAGGAGAATAAAAACAATCTGCTCATGCTGGTCTTGCCGCTCCTGGGGCTCCCCTTACAGCAGCCTGGCAATTTCTAGCCTACTCCTTCCAGCCTAATAAACTACAATTAACAAAATACAATTTCTTAGGACCTAAGTAATTTAGTGGAACTATATAACTAAACTGAGTCTGAGAAGGGCGAAATCTCAATGGAATTAACCTTATTTGTGTGTTGGGAGAGGGCAAAGAATGACTACTCCTTGCACCAATTCTGGAGAGGGATATGTATATCCTAAATGTAATACAGGCCTGTGATGCCTAGTTGTATTATCATCCTCAGGGTCAGATTTTCTTTCTTTCTTTCTTTTTTTTTTTTTTAGAGTTCAAAATTGTGTGGATTTTAGAAAACTAATATCATCTATATACTATGTTAAACCACATACAAGGGGTCTGGGAGTACCCATAATAAAAATTTTGATACTTCTGCAGCAAAAAGGTGGGGATATTCATAATAAACAGGATAGACAAAGACTATGAATTGATTTGCATCAACTGAGCATAGCTTTTGTTGCCAAGAGACTTCAGGTAAGGTCAGATTTTGCCGCCAAAGGAAAAAAGAAAACTGACAGTTTTCAGACTTTTGGGATTTTGCAGTTTCAGGTAACGGATTATGGACCTGTACAAACCTTCATTGCTGTTACTACTCAACATGGGACACACACGTCCTGCTATTAATACAGGATAATAACGCTGACAGCAATGACTACTTGTGCAATTGTGTTTCTCAAGAGTAATTCGTCCTTCCATTCTGTCATGGTGAAGACTGTTCTTTGATCTGTGGTATCACTGGAGACAGTTCCTTCTCTTAAACTCATCATCTGGTTTAAGTTACTACTCAGGATTTAAGATGAGATTCTGTTCAGCATGGTGGATAGGTGACCTAACTCCCCTGGATGTACCTGCTATTTATGTGGCTGTATGACCCTGGATGCATCTGGGCCTCTGCTTTCTCTTCTGTAAAAAGAGAGGATAGGACTATATGACTTAGTACACATTATGAGGCACAGAACTGAAACTTAATAAAGACTTGTTTAATGAATGAAAGAATCTTAAGACCTTTCTAAAATCCTATGAATCAGTGATTTCTGATTCTTGCTTCCTGGACTTTGGAGCAGGTTGACCAGTTGTACAAGGATTTTGTTATAAGGCCACTTGTATATCCTTAAGAGTTAAGGGATTTGCAAATGCATGAATATGACCGAATCTGATTAAACCCTGGAAAAGAGGGCATGGAAAGTCATGGCTAAATGCAACTGACTGTATCTCAGGAGTCTTGCTGATGTGTGTGTGCACATGTGCATGTATGTGTGTTGTACGAGCACATGGGTGCTAATACATAATGGCTCCAGTTGAGGGGATATGGGAGACAACAGTATCCAGATCATCTCTGAGTTTGATAAAATGAGTACACAGTATACCAGTGTAGAGTGCACACTCACTATGCACTGCAGATACCCCCTTAGCTGTAGCACTGGGGATAGCCTGATACCTTAATCCTTTAGGGTCAAGGCCTTGGTCCCCAAAGCAAAAGAAAGGATTATAATCTCCCAGTGATGAGGAAGGGCTAACCACCTATTGGGACAGAGGTATAGTGAGAGATAAGAGCTGAGGAAGAGGTGAAGGCAGCAGAGTCTTGTTGAAAAGAGTGAGCAATATTAGTTGCTGACCATACTACGTGTAAATGAGGTGCAGCCCTGACAGCCTGCCTTGGGTTTTGCTCGTGGCATCAGTGAGGGGAACCAAGGTGTCTGGGAAGCCAGCAAGTTGGCATTGCTGGGGAGGTGACTGGGCTCTGTTGGTTCTAATAGTGGCTTCTATCAGTCTTGCCAAGCACCAATTGCCAGGAACATGGGGGTCTGGGTGAAGCTCATCCCTGTGGAGGAAAAGAGTGGCCAGAAGCAAAGTAGTGTTTGGTAGAGGCCTAACATAGAGGAGCATCTCATATAGGCCAGTGGTGTTGGAGGCAGACTCTCCCCTGATCAATCTTTTGGAACAAAACATATAATTGGGAAGAAAAGGAAATTAAAGCAGGAGGGAATCTCACCTTGAGATTGTCTGCAAACCTTTGCCCATATATGCATTTTTTTCCGGGGAGAAGGTCCATAGCTTTCTCTGGATCTATAAGGGGGTCTCTAGCCCCTAAAAAGCTCAGAACCCCTTCTTTGCAACTTGAGTGAGGCTCATCCAGAACCACAGGCACATGAGAACAGAGGATACTGTCATTTTATTTTTCTGTTCAGGCAATAATTGAGTTCTATACCTGGGAAAGTGTGCTTGTTGGAAGGGGCATATCATTCCAGTACTGGTATAAAATAAAGAAATATAATAATGAAGCAAATCAAAAAATATAAACACTATGGTTCCATTTGTGAACAAATACCAAAATTCCCTCAAATGTAAATACGCTTACATATGCAAAGAAAAAAGAGTGGAAGGATACACATTAAAATTTTAATAATGAGGGCGCCTGGGTGGCTCAGATGGTTAAGCGTCTGCCTTCAGCTCAGGTCATGATCCCAGGGTCCTGGGATCGAGTCCCGCATCAGGCTCCCTGCTCCTTGGGAGCCTGCTTCTCCCTCTGCCTCTATCTCTCTGTCTCTCATGAATAAATAAATAAAATCTTCATAAACAAATAAATAAAATTTTAATAATGAATAATTCTTAGGAGTGGAATTGAGGATGGGGAGTGAGGTAGAGACATGTACTTCTTCATGTACTTCTGTATTTGAACTTCCTTTTCAAGAAGGTTATTACTTTGGGGCACCTGGGTGGCTCAGCTGGTTAAGCATCTGCCTTCAGCTCCGGTCATGATCCCGGAGTCCTGGGATCGAGCCCCACATCGGGCTCCCTGCTCAGCGGGGAGCCTGCTTCTCCCTCTCCCTCTGCTCCCCCCTCTTTCTCTCTCTCTCAAATAAATAAATAAAATCTTAAAAAAGAATGTTATTACTTTGTAATAAAAAAATAAAAGATGATAGAAATAAAATACTGAATGCTACTTGACATAACATCAAAGGATTTAAAGAAGATGGATGGAGAGTTATATTTGATTTCTGACATTGCGGCTGTGGAATTTGCAGGACCCTCCTCCCCATTTGTACCTCAAATTCAAGGGACAGTTTGCTCTCAGCACCTACTGCTCTGCCACCAAAATGTAGGGCTTTCTCATAGCATATCTTCCTTTTACCCTTCTCTGTCCTGGAAAGCTCTCAAAGCCTTTTACCCTTCTGGTTCATCAGCCACTGTTTCTGATATGCCAAAACCTAGGAGAGGTAACACAAAATTTTTGTTATGGTTTTGTTTCTCAGCCAAATGAGCTATACCAAATACTGAATGTCAGAGCTACAGGAGAAATATCTCTCATTCATAATTACCTAGAGTCCCCCCACAAGATGTTCAGTGGCTGCACAGGAATCCTACCACCCTACACATCTTTGACCCATCTGAGCAACAGGTGATAGGCATCCATGACAGGTGTCTGGCTGTGTTGAGCTTAGGAGGCTCCATTAGGGCTATCGGCTCATTCCTTAATGTTTCCTCAGGCTTATCAGTGATGGTAATTCCTGGGGTAGCATGAAGGTGTCAATATGTTTTATCTATTTAGTTTTCTCCTAGAATAGCCAATCAAGCAACAAATATTTTCTGAGGCTTCCTTCCCATGGCAGTTAGTGTTACAGGATTAGGCAGACCTCTGAGAAGGGCAAGAGAAGGAGAAGCAAAGAAAGAAGGGTTCAGGAACTTTGGGACATGATGTTAGGAGAGGAGATTTTGCTGAGAGTGGGGATGGGACACCAAAAGGGAGGAAGGGACTGATGGAAAGGGCCTGAAGGAAGGCACTTGAGGGACTGAGCCCAGCATTCCAAGGGATCATTTAATTAACCTCATCTATAACACGTGGGGAAAACCGTTAGAAAGACAAGGCCAACAGAGTGTGAGGAATTCACCAACTTCATAGTTCTTGCTCTGTCTTTGGTTAACCCAGTCCCAGAGGTTCAGCATCCCTGCTGAACTGCTAACCAAAGCTACCCTAAGGCCAAGCCACTGACACTGATGCCTAGACAACTGTGAATGTCTCATGTGTGTGAATGTCTCTTTATTGACATCCTGCCTCCTTTCTTGTTCCATTCCATCCATTCCCCAAATAGTAGCCAGTGACT